CAAATTAAATCACTTCATGCCACATTTGCACTCAAGAAACTTAGTTAGCCTGAATACTTTCTTGGAGTTAAAGTAAAGTATCTTCCCGATGGCAATTTGCTTCCCACTCAAACAAATTACATTCGTGACTTACTAAATCGAGCAACTATGTCAAATGCCAATGGTGTATCTAATCTCATGCTAAACACGTATGAGTAAACATGACTCAACCACTCTATCCAATCCTCATCAATACAGGTCCCTTGTTAATACATTACAGTATGTTACTATCACCAGACTTGATATTGCTTTTAGTGTTAATAAGGCTTGCCAATTCATGTCCTCGTTATCTGAGTCTCATTGGACTCCTGTCAAGCGCATATTATGATATCTCAATGGAACCATCACTCATGGCTTGCATCTTGTACTTGCTACCTCATCTCATAAGTTCTCTCTCAGGGCGTATAATGGTTTTGATTGGACTAGCAATCCTAACGACCATCGTTCAACCTCAGGTTCATGTATTTATCTTGGACCTAACCTTGTGTCATGGAGCTCGAAGAAATAGCCCTTAGTTGCACACTCCAGCACTGAAGCTGAGTATCAAACCCTTGCTCACACGACATCAGAACTGTTATGGATAAAATCCTTACTTGTTGAACTTTCGATCTCATTCCTTTCTCCTACTGTATTGCGTGATAATTAAAGTGTGGTGTTGTTATCCCACAATCCAATCCTACATACTAGAACCAAGCATATTAAATTGGATAGCCATGTTGTTCGTGAACGAGTCATTATGAAATAAACTAAAAATTCAGCATGTTGCTAGTATTCTGCAAATTGCGCACACCCTTACCAAGCTCTTAGGCACTACAACATCTTTCCAAGAGTTAACAACCAAGCTCAAAGTTGTCTCTTACAATCCTCGTTGAGCTTGTGAAAGAGTATTAGACATATAAGTCATGTCAAACATACTATGCAATATATGTGTGCATGAGAACATATGCATGGAGGTCATACACACTCATGTACCATCATCATGTAAACTCTATATATAGGCATGATGTGCATTGTAAACAAATCAATCATTAAGCAAAAGTGAAATAAGATTCACTCAAGATCTAATACTCCCTTACAAGTTAGTTTTGTATAAAAATGTGTTAGATCAAATTTTAATAATAATTATCATAATCCAAAGGATAGATATAACATAAAATTCAATCATGATTATCATAATCCAAAGAATGGATATAACGTAAAATTCTCAATTGCATGGACTCCATAGCATGTTTCTATATTTTAATCTTGGTACAAATTATATTTAGACAAAATCACAATAATAAAATGATAAATCTGACCGTCATATTTTAAGCGCCGGATGTATTACTCCAAGAATTTCCAATCCCATGGATTACGCATGCAACTCGTTATATGATTGGTGACTATTAAGATAGTGTATTATATTTTTGCCATGTGCATGAAGATAGAGAGCATAAGTGTCGTATTAAAGAAGCAACCAAACAATGAGACATTGGTGTGACATTTGATCAAATGTGGTTTAATTAATTTGGCATTCTTGTTGACCTATGGGCGTCAGAATTTTTTACTCATATGCCACAAGCTGAAATGGAATTAACCAAATTGCCACAAGCTGAAAAAAAATTTCACAAATGCCACTACTTCTTTAAGGGTTCGTCCTATGGTTGGACGACCCACTGAAAGTCTTTTGGGCGCAGCATGGGTTCGGCCAATGGATGGCCGACCCTGCTCTATGTCTTTTTTTTTTTTTTTTTTTTTTTAATTTCAGAATTAAAATGAGTTTTTTTTTATTATTTTTTGTTTTTAATAGATTTTTTTATATTTAAATGATTTAAATAATATTATATAATAATAATAAATAATTTAATTATTTTAAAAATAATTTAATATAAATAATATAAATTTTACATTATATAATTAATTATTAAATATTAATAATTGTTTTTTACATTATATAATTAAGTATTAAATATTAATAATTGTTTTTTACATTATCTAATTAATTGTTTTTTATATATTAAAATTAGTTAAATGATATTTTATATTACCTAATAAGTAATTTAATTATTTCAAATTATTTTTTAATATTTTTATATATACAAAATGATAAATAATTATATAAAATAATAAATTATATAATTAATTGTTTAACTAAATAATTAGATAAAATAAAAAAAGATATTTTATTAATATTGATGAGTGGAGAAAATACATCATATTTATCTACGCAAATGACCGCCAGTTCCACACAATGTACTCTTTTTCACACGTTTCCCCCTGCCTAACTCTTGAGTTTGCCGTATTGGAGGTGATGTTGGAGGTGATGGGGTAGAGTCGGAAGTCAACTCTTCATTTTCAGGTTGACGTGATGTATCAAGCATGTCCACATCAGTAACCGAAAAACCTGGCCATTCCATGAGTTGATCATCCGTTAGGGTAAAGTTAGGGGCTGACTGGAATGGTTGGGTGAAAGTGGTTGGAGGGTTTTGTTGGATGGGAGGGTAATAAACATTGTCGGTGCGACCGGATGAACTTGGATGAGACATTGAAGGGTTAAATGTTTGGTGTTGTGGTTGGGGGTAAGAGAAATCAAAATTAGGCTGAGGGATCGGAGTGAATTGAAAAGAAGGTTGAAATGTGGCTTGTTCCTGATATTGTTGTCGATAGTAGTAGTTTGGTTGTGGGGTTGGGGTGTACGGTGTTGGTTGTTGAGAGGAGGTGGCAAAGAATGTAGTATGAGTTCGTTGATATGTTGGTTGGGGTTGTGGTTGTGTTGGTTGTTGAGAGGAGGCGGCAAAGAATGTTGGCTGGTTGAATGAAGATGTCTGTGTTTCAAATTGTGAAGGGTTCACCTGAGGCATTTCTTGAGGCATGGGCGAAGAGGATCTTTGTTGTGATGAAGACGTTGCATACTGACGGGGGTCCTCTAGGAACTGACCTTGAGAAGCGTGCATAAATGGAATGGATAAAAACCATTGCATATATTCAGCACTATGAACACAGTTACCGTTAACCATGTTACCTCGTAGGGTCAAATTTGTTCTGTTTCTCCACTCGTTATTTTCTTCTTTATTTATATTGCGCCAATGATCTCCCCATGTATTAGGCATATCAGTCTCATGTTGTTGACGTAGACATCTAGGCTGAGGAGGGATATCTTGTTGAAATCCAAACTGCAATTTTACCCTATCAGCCTGATGCATTTCAACGATATGGAAACTGATAATTGATGTTGTAGCGCTCCAAATCTGGCTATCTTGAAGGACGCATTCGGGGTAGCTTGGGTATGGCCTCCAAATAAACTGTTACATAAAATATAAGTGTTAGAGTTTTAATACAATGGGTGACACATATTTAGAGAATGTTGCATTAACAAACTTACATCGTTAGCCCTTAATCTGTCTAGTGCGAATCTAAATCCTCGGACGTAGTGGCGAGGATTATTTTGATAAGCCATGCCTCTTCGAACAAATCTTGCAATGTTAAAAAAAAAAAAAATAATTTAGGGATGGAAACAAAAAGAAAATAAATGATAAAGAAAATGTAAACAAAATTTACCTTGTTGCATAAGGATGGTGTGCAGTGGCGGGAGACTCTGGAGCTATTAGTGGTATACGCCAATATGTCCAAACACTTAGTAGTAGAACACACCCACCAATACTTTTGACCCCTACCATACATGCTTTACACATATGTCTATATAATGTAGCCAAACAAGCAGAACCCCAACTATATCTTCTGCATTTATCTAAATCTCCAACTAGGGGTATCCAAGAAGAATGCATATAGTTATGGCTCTTGTCTGGCATTAATACCTTAGCTATTAGTAATAAAATATATATTTTTGCATGTTGTAGATTTTCCTCATCGGTTGGTCTTGCTTTTTGTCGTAATCGTGCTAATGTTGTTTGTAGCCAAACAATTTTAACGTACCCTTTATGTTTATCAGATGTTGTAGGTTCTACGCCTAAATGTTCCATATATACATCACCTCCTACCTGAGTAGGACCATTCACGGCCTTACCATTCACGCGAAGACCCAATAACATACTCACATCCTCCAAAGTGATGGTACATTCACCTGTTGGTAGATGGAAAGTATGTGTTTCTGGTCTCCACCTCTCCAACATAGCGATTACAAGCTTTGAATCAACTTTGATCGAGGAGATTTCTGCAACTTTTGCGAAACCAGCTCGTTCCAAAAACGGTTTAATTTCTTTGGTTGGTGCATCAATAGCATGAGAATGTAGTCTGAATCTCTCGCTATCGGACTGTTACAAATATAAAAACAAATAAATACAAACTTGTTGAATGATTGAAAATAAATACAAATCAATAAATTCAAATAGATAAATAACAGAAATGTGAATAAAAATAACATACAAATGCGGCAATATTGGCCGGTGTTCCCCGATGATTTTCTCCCAACCACAACATTGCCATTTAAAAATATTGAATTGTTGATTTAGAAGTAAGGAGTGATATATATTGAAGTGATGATTTTTAAAATGTGAATGTGCATTGTATTTATAAGAAAAATTTTGAAGTGGTGAAGTAGTGATACACACTAATAGCCTTTGGAAACTCACATGCATGCACCCTATACTGCACCCTATTAATTTTCATCAGCCTTAAGGGATTCTTCTGCACCCTAATATTGTTCAAACCCTAGAAGCATGCAACGACAAGTGGCTTGCATGCAAATTTACCTCTTCAATGGTTCGCCCTTTCGTTGGCCGAACCCCTACACGGTTCCCATTGGTTCGTCCTTTTGTTGGACTACCCTATACTAGAAATGAATTGGTACGTCCTTGGGTTGGACGACCCTTTACTATGCATGTGTGGGTTCGTCCTTTGAATGGACGTCCCTTAACTTGTACAGCATGCACGCTTCTCCTATATATTTTACATGCAATTGTTGTAGACTGCACATCTACCTCCCACTCATACACTCATACTGTTAATTTTCAAAAACCTTGGTCATGGCAGATAGAAACACATTGGTCACTATGCACTATAACGGTTCCGTGTTTACTGATGAAAATATCGGTTTTTCATTCAACGGAACAGATACGGTGATGTTCAAACTTCACCGAAGTTCTGATATCCGTCATCTAAAAGATAGAATTGAAAAAAAAGTGAATCGTTCTGTCCAGGATATTACTTACCGTCAACCAATACGTAATGGGGTAGACGATGATGTGTTCTACGTAATGATGCAGATAGATACAGACAGCGCAGTCAAATCAATGTTTCAATGTCATTACACAATGCCCCAGTTGAAGACAATTGAATTATATGTTCGCCTTGAAGACGAGGCATATCCAACGCAATCATCATATTCGCATCAATACGGGGTGAGCCAAACAACTGATGATGAAATAACGCAAAATAATGAACCTTTCATCCGGAACGAGGAGGTTGGTGAATACAGTGACGATGAGCTCGATGATGTTCGCTTTGAAGACCTATTCGGTGATGACGATGACGACGGTCACGATGAACTCATGCAGTCAGAGGTAATATATGCTCAACCCATAAATCTGTACAATCCACCAGTTCATATGTCAAACATATGTATGGAGTCATCTCAACCCATCTATATTTTTGAAAATGAAAAACCAAACCATAATGGTGAAAATTTGGAAGTAGGCTTGGTGTTTGAAAATAAGGAAGAATGTGTTCTTTTTTTACAACATTGGCATATTAGTAACAACCTTGACTATGCAGTATATAAATCTGATTCAGTAAGGTATATAATAAAATGTACAAACCCACAATGCGTCTTCAAATGTAGAGCTGCTGTGCGTAAAAAAAGCACATTATGGGAGATCGCTACTATAAAGGGTTCACACACGTGCACTACAACCTCAATGTCACAGGATCATAGAAAATTAGATTCTGAAATTATTAGCCACAGCATCAGAGAACTTGTTAACAGCGACGCTTCACTGAAAGTCAAAGTTATACAAGCCCACATTGCTGAAAAATACGGTTATAGAATCTCGTATCGGAAAGCTTGGATTGCAAAGATCAAAGCTGTAGAAGCACTTTATGGAAATTGGGAGACGTCTTACAATGACCTACCACAGTGGTTGTTGGTGCTGAAGACATATCTTCCTGGAACTGTTATACAGTTGGAAACATTGCCGATTATTACAGATGACGGAACCCAGTTGGGTGACAAACGAAAATTTCACCGACTTTTTTGGGCATTTGAACCGTGTATCCGTGGTTTTAGTTTCTGTAAACCAATCGTGCAAATAGACGGAACCTGGTTGTACGGCAAGTACAAAGGGACTTTGTTAATGGCTGTGGCACAAGATGGAAATGGTAACATTTTTCCGATAGCGTTTGCATTGGTTGAAGGAGAGACAAAGGATGGTTGGAGTTTCTTTCTCAAGAATTTGAGAATGCACGTGACCCCCCAGGCCAATCTTTGTCTAATATCCGACCGACATCCATCAATCAAGAGTGCTTACGATGATCGCGAGAGATTCTGTTTTATGGTTGCCGAATGCATTAACCAACGCGATGGCCGACCATTAGGTACTTTTAGCGTTGATCTCAGGAGAGGGTGGTGCGATTGTGGGAGGTTTCAGGCATTTCATTTACCTTGCTCTCATGTAATCGCAGCATGTGCCAGTATACGACAGGACCATAACATGCACATACCAGATGTTTTCAAAGTTCTAAGTGTATTCAAAGTATACAGCCAAAGCTTCCTTGGACTACCCCACCAGCAAAATTGGCCAACATATGAAGGATTCACTCTTTGCCATGACGAGACAATGCGACGAAATAAGAAAGGGCGTCCAAATAGTACAAGAATTACAACTGAAATGGACGATTTTGAGAAAGAAAAGAGAAGATGTGGGATTTGTCGAGAAATCGGTCATATGCGGAGAAAATGTCCAAACGTGGCAGGCCCATCAAATCGGCCAGTCTAAAATTGATGTATTTTTCCCCTGATTAAATATTAATAATATTCTTTTTTTATGATTCAATTTATTCTTTTATATAATTAGTTATATTTATGAATTAATTATATAATGTGAAATATATATTATTAATATTAATATATATTATAATTTAAATAATTTTAATATTTCAAAAATATTATTATTAATATTAATATATAATAACATTTATTAATTTTTTTTAAACAATTAAATAGTTAAATATTACTGAAATATATTTTATAATTAATAAATTATATAATATCATTTATTAAAATATTAAAATAATTAAATTATTTTTTTATTATTATATAATATTATTTAAATCATTTAAATATTAAAAAAACTATTAAAAACAAAAAATAATAAAAAAAAATACATTTTAATTCTGAAATTAAAAAAAAAAAAAAAAAAAAAAGGACCTAGAGCTGGGTCGGCCATCCATTGGCCGAACCCTTGCTGCGTGAAATATGGTTTCATTGGGTCGTCCAATGGTTGGACGAACCCATCCTGGCTTTGTGGCATTCCTGCAAATATTTTCCAACTTGTGGCAATTTGGTTAATTCCATTTCAGCTTGTGGCATATGAGTAAAAAATTCATGGGCGTCACATTTTGTCAAAGTGTTGGTATGGAATGTTGCCCCCACCTCACCATACTATAATAATAATTAATGTTTCATTTCTTCACTTTTTAAATAAATGTACTTATTTTCCTCTAACACTGATTTTATAGTAGAACAAATTTTCGGTTTATAAAAGTCATACCCAGCTTTATTTGGTTATTATATCACTATCTCCTAGATATAGAAATCTTTATAAGTGCTAGCACCTAGTTTGGGAGAAATATACGTATGAACATCTTTTCTCACTTGCTATCATCATGATGATCCAAAAATGGATGTGAAATGAAATTCTTAATTGCATTGATCTTGGTACTAATTACTACATATTCTGCTTTGACCATCAATTATTTGTGCAAATATAAATTAAGAAATTTGTCTTACCGCTTTTTTCGCCGACTTTACTTACACTGTGCAAATGTATATGCTATTGACTCTTTTCTTCGTCTTTTGTTCTCATTTTAAAATTAAATTGCATCAATCGACAAGTGACACATCTAGCTTCATCAATACTAAATTATTGTAATCAAATTTTAATAGATAACTAGGAAGATAGTGTAATGTTTTGCCATGTGCATGACAGCATATGGGTAGAAAAACAAGATAGAGAGAGGTGTTCATTAATGTCATATTTAGGAAGCAAACAAGAAGACATTGGCGTCACATTGGATGAGATGTGCTGAAATTCGTGTTGACTTATGAGTCACAATTTTTTCAAAGTTTTGGTATGAAAGCACATCACCACTCTCTCGCCCATCTTATTGCACTACCATATAATTAATGTTAAATTTTGTTTTTTAGTTTATACTAAGTCTTATTCAGCTTTATTTGGTTATATCACTAATTCCTAGATAAGGACTCCAAATATTTTTAGCACCTAGTTTAGGACAAAATAAGTAGAATATCTTTTCTCAGTTGCTATCGTCATCATGATCCAATAAATAGATGTGAAATGAATTTCTTAATTGCATAGAGTCCATACCATATTTCTATTGCTTTGATTATGCTATTGAGATTTTTTTTACCCACATGACATTGTTTAAAATATTAAATACTAAAGACCATAAATTAAAAAAAAAAAATCAGAATATCTACATTTTAATTAGGGTTTGGCTAACAAAAAACAATTCTGAAGAATATATATAATGGGTGATTTCGACCAATAGTTAGCCGAATCAATGAAGAAATTTTTTTTTTAAATTTTTTTTTTATGTTTTAAAATATATAAAATTTATATAATATATTATAATATAATTAGTATTATAAATATTATAATTTATATTACATTAATATTAAAAAAATTGTATAAATTGTTTTAAAATGATTTAATAATATTATAACATTAAAAAATAATAATTAGTTTAAAAAAATATTATTAGAATAAAACATTTCTATTTTTATAAAATTATTTTTATAATAAATATCAATTAATGTCATAATTATATTTTAAAATATAATTTATTAGTATCAATTGCCCATCAATAATTGCGTGAAGAAGCTCGGTCATCCATTCGCCGAGCATAAAATATTTTATTATTTTTAAATTTTTTATATATAGCATTGTATGGGTACCTTTAGATCTCAGATCATCTACATCCATTTCATCATTTTAGTTTGAAATTTTTCATAAAAAATGGAGTATTTTACTAATCCAAATACTCCTCTCACCAAATCACCAAAAGAGATGCTCAACTGGTTTTTTCTCTAATAAAATCACCCTTGAAGATCTGATTGTGGAACACAGTGACATTCGAGCACTTTCAGAGAAGTCTGGTCAGATGGTTGGAAGGACAAATTCCTGAAGGTGAAAAGATTAGAAGAACTGAAAGTCTTGTTAAAGATAGAGATGTCTGAAAAGCTGTAAAAACGATTATGATTGTGTTATGATGATGCATGGACAAACAGATATTGTCCTGATAGTTGTAATAGCCTAGGCATGTTTAGATTTTAAATCGTTATAATGTTTATTGGCTTATTTGTTTGGGTGTAATTTATTTATTTTGATATTGTCGAATGTTGAATGAAAGTTGTATGAGACAAATGAAAGTTATATTAATTAAAATCCCACAAAATTAAAGTTATATTAATTGAAAGTTAAATTAAAAAACAAATAAATTAATCTAGACATACCGATTTGACGGGTCTGCTACATTTGGACATTTTCTACGCATATGGCCAATTTTTTGACAAATCCCACACCTTATCTTTTCTTTCTCAAGATCGTCCATTTCGGTTCTAATTCTTGTACTGTTTGGACGTCCTTTCTTCTTCCCTCGCATTGTCTCGTCATGGCAAAGAGTAAATCCTTCATATGTTGGCCAATTTTCGTGGTGTGAAGTCCAAGGAAGCTTTCCTTGTAGACTTTGAAAACACTTAGAATCTTGGTATGTGCATGTTCTGGTCATGTCGTATACTAGCACATGTTACGATTACATGAAAGCAAGGTAAATGAAATGCTTGAAACTTGCCACAATCACACCACCCTTTCCTGAGATTAACGCTAAAAGTACCTAGTGGATGACATTATGGCTGCTAAGTTTACTCGCTTCGTTAGTTATTCCTGTTGTACCCCAAAATTTGACCAACCTTTTCTTCTTAACTTGGCTTGTGTTTCAGTTACATTTTAGCATTTTGCATTTGCATAACATTGTTCTATACAGGGGATCAAGAGGTGTCTTGAGCCATTCAAGAAGAAAGTTTCATTGCTCAAGCTCAAGTCAGAGCATTTGTACAAGCCATCAGGGTTTCATCATCATGGAGAAGTTTCAAAGCTCTTTGAAGGGAGAGATTGGTGTGTGGTTGTTACCTCCTATTTTGAGGGTAATCAGAGGCTCATCAGAGGATCATCAGGAGTTCATGAGGTCATTTATTTGGACAAGACATGGTTTTGAAGTTAATTGTGTACCTTGGAGAGGCTTTGTGGGGTTTGAGTAGTCATTCAAGTCATCTGCAAAGGGCATAGACAAAGGACTTGGAACTAAGGTTTAATTTGTTCAACTCAAGGTCAACTGTAGACTTGAGGGGGTTCAAGACTGGGTTCTAAGTCATTGAGGCCATGGGAAGTTATCTTAAAACATCTAAGATATCATGTTAAGATTCAATCAAGAGGAATCAAGAGTTGAAAAGGTTACTAAATTAGGGTTTCCGTTGATTTCAATGTAAAATCCGCTTCTTTAGTGCCCAACTTCAAGGGCATTTTACCCTATGATGCAAGCTCAATCTTCTTTTTATGAAAACATGAGTCTTGTAGAACATGTTCTTAGATTTTGTTTGAGTACAAGAACTCATTCATTGAGTTTGTAAATCTCAAATTAAGATGGCAACACGTTAGGGGTCTCAGATGAATAGAATTTTGGTCCACAAAAAGTCAACTCACTTCCAAGACATTTTTGACCTAGAATCAAGTTTTTCCTCAACTTCAAGTGAACATGAAATTTGTTCCTCATGGTATTAGCTTTCCAAAAAGTCCTAGAAGTCATCTTTCTCATGTGTGAAACTCAAGTTATGGTCTTAACAAGTCAAGGGTATTTTTGGAAGATTTCATTATAGGTCATTTGTTTCAATGGTCAATTTCATGATTTCATAGGCCTCAAATCCAATTTTGATCAACATGAAACTTGTGCATAAGAGTCTTAACTCCTCATTCAACCTAAAATTCATGAAGATTGGTGAATTAGATGATCATGTAGGCCATTTTAAGTTGGAAAATTAGGGTTTTTGGTCATGTTTTGATAACTTCAATTAGAAGTCATCTAATGGTTTGATTTTGGATCTCTCCACACCTTAACATCATCATAGGATATCCATGATATTCTTTGCAAATTTTGTGCCAACAAGAACCATTTTTCATACCAATTTTTTCAAATTTCATACTAAAAAAGTCATGCACCAAACTTTGTGCCAATTCATGCTACAACCACCAAACCAATTGCATTGTGTTCCACACACCCCAAATGCAAGAATGCTGACCTAAAAAAGAGTAAATAAGGCAAAACCCGTGTGTGCTTATGAAAGGAAATTTTTGGTCATTTTTTTGGAATCACACAAAATAGCCAACATGGACCTGCATGGTGTGTAAAATCCATCACATATAAGCTTTAATTGCTGGCCTAATTGATCATAGAGGCTTGCTTGCGTGGGAGAAGAGATAGCTGCTCATAATTTCTTCACTTTTGCTCACTTTCAAATTTCATTTTTCTCTGCAAATTAATCCTAATTGGAGCTTGGTTCTTCTTCCTCAAAGCATAAGGAACATATTGGAAGCAAGAACGTAAAGTTTTCGTGCCTGAGAAGAGCCAACAGAGTTTCTCCGTTCAGTAAGATTCCACTTCTATTTTCTCACATTCTAGGCATTTTTTAAGGGCATGCTGG